GGGGGCGGGGAGGGGAGCGAGGCCTCTGTCACGCAAGCGCTCGCGCACGAGGAGGCATGCGACGACCGGCTGGGACGCGCGGGGAGGGGGGGGGGAGCAGCTGCAACAAAGAGCCGCGCCGGGCGGGGCAATGGCGGGAGAGGGGGAGAGAGAGAGAGAGAGGAGGCAGAGGGGGGAGGGAGGTGGAAGTATATGGAGGGTCTGTCACCAGGGGGGGCGCGCGAGGGGGACGTGCTTGAGTCTCTCCCTGTCCTGCCTCCGAAGGGGGCGGGGGGAGAACCAGGATGTGTCTGGGCCGTCCTGGTGACTGCCGTGCTCGGGCCGGCCGCATCCCTCGCGCCCGGAGAGAGAGGGAGAGAGAGAGAAACCCGGGGGGCCCGGGCCGGGCGAAAGGCCGACTGCCGGCGGTCATCTCCCGGACACGGGCCGTCCTCCGCCGGGGGGCCCATCGTGCGCGGGGCCGTGCCGAGCCCTTGGCCTAGACGCGCGAGCGCCGCCGGTTACTAATTTTGCCCTTGATGGGAAGAAGGGAGCAGGCTCCGGGGGCCGGGCGACACCCGGACCGGCGACACCCGGGGGTGGGCCGGAATCGGCGCCGCCGCCGCCGCCGCCGCCGGGCCCCGGCGTGGAGCCCACCATCCGCCAGATGATGCGGCCGGCTGGCGGGGGGCGGCCCTGTCTCGACGATCGCCATTCAAGCGAGGGGGGCGGGGCGCCCGGCCGGGGGACTTCCCCCGCATGGGGACATTCACCTGGGGAGGAAAAAAATAACCATCGGCCCGCCCCACGGCGGCCCCTTCGCTTTTGGCGCCGGTGGGCGGGCCGGGCCCGCTTGCGCGCGCGCCAAAAATGGAATTTCCCGCCTAACTTTCGCCGACGGTCCCCCGTGTCTCCGGCCCCCCTCCCCCCCCGCCCTGTTCCACCTCGCGACTGCTCTGGCTCCAACCAGCGGGGGGGGGGGGGTGCCAGCCGCCAGTCCCCGGGAGCGCAGCCAACAGCGAACCGCCCACCACGGCACGACGCGCACGCCGCCGGGTATTGTGCCCCGCGCGCGCCCCGCCCCGCCCCGCCAGCCGCAGAGAACAGGGCGCGCAGCTACCGAGTGCCAACGCATACCCCCGGCACCGTGTGTCTCCCGCCATCCTCTCCGAGAGCATGCCCCACACGGCTTTTGACACACACGCACACGGGCGCGCGCGCGCGCGCGCGCGCGAAAGACCCGGCGCCGTTGCACGGGAACCCACCGGGCGACGTGCTCGGGGTGTTGTGGGCGCAGAGCCGCGTCAGCCCGAGTGGGGCAAAAGGAAATTAGCGACTGGTGGTTTCGATCCACCGACCTTTGGGTTATGAGCCCAACACGCTTCCCCTGCGCCAAGTCGCTTGCTTCTGGAGGACCTATCATGTGCATTCCTTTTTATCCCCCACCAGTGTGCCTGGGTGGGCCTCCGGCCGAGACCCCACATGCTTAGATGCGAGCGCCGCGCTCGCCCGGGGAGAGGGGGGGAGGGGGGCAGGACGCTGGGGATAGATGTTTCACCCAAATTGAACGCCCTCCGATTGTTGCCCCCGCCCGGGCCTGGCCGTCGCCGCCTCGGCCAGAGTGGACAGGAACATGGGGCTGGGGCTCCCGGGCTGGGCGGCTTTCACGCAGGCCGCCGCCCCCGCGAAAAAGGAGCCTTGCGTGCGCACGCGCGCGCGCGCGCGCGCGGCCGTGCCCGTGCGCCGGCATGCGTATTGGCCCCACGGGGAATGGCCCTCGCCACCCTGGCCCATCGTGGCGGGCGGCGCAGAGGGGGCAGGCGCCGACGCGCCCGCGCGAATGCAGGTGGGAGACTGGCGGGGCTCCAGTGACGTTTAGAATGGTGTTCCTTATGATGTTCCGTTCTGGATCTGCTTCACACCCGCACTGGTGCCGTGTCCTGTGGTGTGTCCCCTGCTTCTTCTTGCGCCCCCCCCCCCCCCCCCCCCCCGCGGTCCCCCCCCCGCGGTCCCCCCCCCTTGGGATCCTCGGCCGCAGGGCGCGGGAGGGAGGAGCAAGAAAAAGGCAGAAGGCGCCGACCGGCGAGCCCACCGTTCGGGCCTGCGCGCCGACGTGTGCCTCCCCCTGCGCTTTTTCTCGGCGGACGCAGGCCCGTCTGCTGCTAGGGGAGGGGAGGACAATTGGAAAGAGGAAAAAAAAAACATGCGGCAAGGACACACCCCCGCGGCAAAAGGCTGGGAAGAGAGAGTGTTGGGGGAGATGTATTCACCGGGGAAGAAGGGGTGATATTATCAAACAAGGACGATGTCAATGTAACATTGGGGGGGGGGGGTGATTGGGGGTGGACTGGCCCCTCCTCCGGCCGCCGGGCGCGGGAGCATCATCGAGAGCGAGGGGCGCGCGCGCGCGCCGAAGGAGGAAAGGCGCGATGCGTGAGAGTGCTTGAGGGGGGGGGGGGGGGGGAGTGACGGCACCTCCGCCCCATCTCCCGGCCTCAACCCGATGGGAGGGGGAGGAGGAGCATGCACGGACACAGCCATCGGCAAGAGGGGTGGGGGGGGGGGGTGGGGGCCGCAACGATGATCGGGACGGTCCCTGCCTCTTACAGCCTGCCCTTCAGGAGGGGGGGGGGGAGGGGAGAATGCGCGAACAACGGTCCTCCCCGCCCCGCGTCCCCCCCTCGCCCGCCGGCAAAGATATGCACAGAGGGCACGCGCGCATGAGAGGGAGGGCAGAGAGGGAAAAAGAGGCGGATGCGCGCGATGCACGCGCCCCCGGGCGGGAGAGAGCTGGATAGTGGCACCGGAGACGCGCGCACGCACGGCCGCGCAATGGCCGAGGCGAGAGGGAGGACAGGCGAACAGGCAGACGCGCGGGCGACGGGGGGGGGGGGGGGGGGGGGGGGGGTGCTCCGCGGGCGCGCTGGTCCGCCACGGCCACCTGCCGCATCGTCGGCGAGCGTCTCTTCCGCCCCGTACAGAGGCGCACTTCGCCGCCTGACCCCGGGCGTTGCCCCGTCCGGCCGGGGGAGGGGGGGGACAGCCGAGAAGGGGGGGGGGGGGAACACTGGGGGACGGGGGGGGGAGGGGGGGGGGGTGGGGGGGGGGGGGGGGGGGGGGGAGGGGGGGGCGTACGCGCGCGCCGCCGGGGGAGAAAACCACACATGGGCGGAGGAAGCAATGCGCAGTCACCGCACGAGGGCGCGGCGCCCTCCTCTCCCACCTCCGCCCGCCCACTGGCCTCATCGAGGGGGGCGCACACACACACACAAACACATGTGCGCGTGCTTGCCTTACTCGTCGTCCGAGTCCGAGTCGTCGGACGAGTCATCCGAATCATCGGACGAGTCATCCGAGTCGTCGGACGAGTCGTCGGACGAGTCCTGGTGCGCGTGGTGGTGCACACCGCCGTAGGCCGCGCTGGCCGCGAGCGCCGCCGAGCCGGCCAGCGACTGTGGCGTCATGTGGTGCGCGGCGGCGGCGGCGGCAGCGGCGGCAGCGGCCGCCGCCGCCGCATCGCCCGGCTGCTGACCAACCTGGCCCGGCGGCTGCTCCAGCGACACCGACCCCCCATGGAGCAGGGCCGCTTGCCCCTCGGCCGGGGGGACAACCCCGTGGAAGACGAAGTTCTCCATCTCCCGCAGGGTGGCCGTGTCCAGCTGGTTGATGTCGATCTCCAGGTCGCCCTGCACGCCGTCCAGATGCGGATGGTGGCGCTTGATGATCTGCACGATGACCAGCAGCCGGCTCTGGTCCAGGTCGTAGATGGCCGTGGCCAGGTCCGACTTCTCCTGGAAGGTCATCGGGGCGTGGAGCAGGGCGGCGGCCGTGGCGGCGGCGGCGGCCGCGGCCGCGGCCTTCTTGCTGGCGGCCTTGCCAGCCCCGGCAGTCGCCTTGGACCCACCGCCGGCGGCCTTGGTGCTGGCCTTGCCGGCGGCCTTGGACCCGGCGGCCGTGGCGGCCTTGGACCCGGCGGCCGTGGCGGCCTTGGACCCGGCGGCCTTGGTGCTGGCCTTCTTCTGAGAGGCGCCGGCAGACCCGGACGCGGAGGAGGACTTCTTGTTGGAGGAGGAGGGCGCAGGCGAGGCCTTCTTCTTGGAGGTGGCGGTGGCCTTGCCGGCCTTGGGCCGGGCGGCGTCGGCCTTGGCGCTGGCCTTGCTGCCGGTGCCGCCCTTCCGGCCGCCGGTGGCCCCGGGGGGGTCGACGGCCGCCCCGCTGGCCGCCAGCTGCGACTGCAGGGCCGACAGGAGCTGCTCCATCTGGGCCACCTTGGCCGTGAGGTCGGCATTGGAGGCGCCGCCGCCGCCGC